AAATATGGTGCTGGAGGAGAACTTTGTGGATACTCTAGACCACCAGAAGGAGGAACAAGTGGATCCTGCATCAAATCAAGCCTGAACTTTCTCTTGAAGCAAGCATGATGAAACTGACATATTCTGGGTATATGATGAGAAAACAAGATTCACTAGAAAAGGCAATAATGCTAGGAAACATTGAATGCAGCAGCAAACCAAATATGAGAGGGATGGACTCAGTGAAGGAAGCCACAGCCTTGAGTGTACAAGAGGTGAGGAGAAGTGTTGAGGACAGGACATTCTGTAGGTCACTCATCATCAGATCACCATAGGTTGGAAGTGACTCGACAGCATGTTAAGAACTTGTTCTGGTTGTTGTTTTTCTTGTGCCTTTTGCGTGGGATATTTTCCCAAAGGTCACTCTCTTCCAACTCCTTGTACTAGTTCATTGAGTTGGGAATGAGTTGGTTGGTTCGAGAAGAGTTGACATTACTGAGCGTGTTGAAGCCAGGACAAGTCCCAGAATGCTGGAATAAGGAACCACCAGCTATGGAGTTTCCATGCTCCAGAACTCCTCTAACCTGTGCACAACTGGAGCTTGTTACACTCTCATTGTGCATCTTCTGACTCTAATTGGATTATAGGAATGTACTGAACTTTTTAAAGTATCCCAATGATACCAATTTTGGCAACAGTTTCTTCAAATCCACTGAGATTTCTGCTTTGCTTTCTGCTTTCCTTCACCCATGCCAAGGATTTAAAAGTTCTGATTCAGAGCAAAAGAGACTGCACATAGACAGGGCAATATTATAGACCCAAAAGGGTAATTGTGTGTGACACAGAAAAGATAATTCCTTTTTTTCCTACTGTTTATGTTTTGAGCTTGTGCATGCATGGCAGTTTCCTTTTAATGTAAAGTGGGGCACTCTTTTTCTATGGACTTCAGTTCGTAAACCAAAACTTAAGTAAACCGGCTTTCGTAAAGCAAGGTAAGCCAGTAATCCTAATGGCACGCATATATATGATATGGTAAAGTCAAAGACCAAACACTTTTTTCTGATCACATTGTAAGGAAAGTGCTATACCAGGTTTGACAGAAATTCGAGGGGCAAATATACAAAAAAAATTCTGATATGGGTAGCACCTTTGGAAGCTTTTACACAACCTTTCATAATCTTGAAAGAATTGAGATATATGTATAAAGAGCTCTTAACCATAGAGCAAGAATTAAAAAATATATACAGGAGCTGAAGGAAATGGGTCTACCAATGGACTGGAGGGTGATATTAAAATTAAAATCAAGTTTTGAAAAATACAAAATAATGGGCCTTTATGAAGGAAAAGTTCAGGTGGTTGAGTTATGGATTTATACTAGTGATAAGATTATACAAAATGTATATTTTACTAAAATACAATTTAGATGATGAAAGGGTGAAAGCAGTGATGATTAAATGGGCACAAAATTTTGGTTATAATATAGACATAGATGATTGGACTCGAATGTGGAATGATAATTATAGATAGATTAAGCCAGTAAACTTGAGAGAAAATGTTTTAAATATGTTTTATTGATGGCATCTCACACCTGTAAAATTGGCAAAAATGGCATCAGGGGTTAGCAACTCATGTTGGAAGTGTGGTGAGCAACCTGGGACTTTTTTTCATATGTGGTGGACATGAGATAGAGCAAAAAGATTTTGTAGAGAGAAAAGATATTACACAATAAATTATACAACAAAAATAGCCTTTAAACCAGAAATGTTTCCGCTGAATATAATTCCAGAAATTGTTGTTGCACATATTTACAGCTGCAAGGCTGATTTGGGCCCCAAAATGGAAAAATCAGGAAAACCCAAAGATAGAGGAGCTCATTAAAAAATTATTGGATATTGCAGAAATGGATAGCCTGTCAGAGGCATGATGTGAGAAACTGTGAACATATGTTAAAGAAAGCTGGGAAATGTTTTATCATTGGGCCCAGAAACAAATATGAGTATAGAATATAGCATATGTTATGGATTTTAGTATTATAATACAGCCATGGAGCCAAGACTATACTATATATTGTATTATTGTAACCACTTCCCCTTGTTTCCCCCCATATCTGTATTCCTTTGACTGTTGTTTGTTTGTTATATATTTAAAATAAAAGATTATTTTAAAAAGATGGTGTCATCTGTGTATCCTAAATCATTGATTTTTTTTCCCCTACCATTTATTTCTCTCCCCATTTGGTTTCTATGAAAACTGAAGGGGAAGCATACTTGGTATCAGCATACTTCCAGAGGGACTGTGCCAGCCAGATACTTGACTTTTTCACTGGTTTCAGGCAACCAGTAATAATCCTACATCAGTGGTGCCAACCCTTTTTGGGCTCGCATGCCCAGACTGAAAAGAAAAGAAAAAACAGTGGGCAGCGTGCCGCGGCAGCAATGGAACCAGAAGTGGCAGTGGAAGGGGGAATCCTGGCATGGAGGTGCCTCAAGACCCCACTCCAGATCCTCCTGCCGAAGCACCAGCACCATGGCTGCAGCCGCCTTCTCAGGTTTGGCTGTGCAGGGGAGGGGGGTACCGATCCGGCAACTTCTGGCTTGCGTGACCACAGAAAGGGCTCTGTGTGCCAGCTGTGGCACGTGTGCCATAGGTTCACCATCACTGATCTAGGGGGTCTTAGTAAACCATGAGTTTAACAGGAGTCCATAGTGTGATAAGCAGTGGTGGTGGGGGAAGCAAATGCAATACTCAGTTGTATCCACAGAAGTACAGTGTCCAGATCAAAGGAATAAATAGTACCGCTCTGTTCTGTTTTGGCCAGACTTCATCTGACGACCTGAGATCAAACCTCTGGAATAATGTATCCAGTTCTGCCCACCACAGTTTGACAAGGATATTGAGAAAGCTTTGGCTGTGGTTTTTCTGTTTCGGTGGCAGGTTGGACGCTACAATTTGGAGTACCTTCCAGCTCCACAATTCTGATTTTGTGACCATGAGATTCTACCTATCCAAAGGATATGTGTCATATATGAGGAGGGGGTGGGATTTGTACTATACTTATCTACTGGTCCCAATGAAGTTTGGGTTATTGGCCATCCAACTTCACCTTTATCGGCTGTTTTTGCTTATATATCTATGTTGTAGAGGGGGTTTGGTGCAGAACAAAAGAAGATGTTCTATCTGTATACCGAGTATGAGTGTGTATGATGGAACATAGGGGACAGAGAGATGCTTGCATACTGATGAAGTGGAGTTGATCCACAAGAGCTCAAATTGAAAGATAACAGTCTTTAAGGCAAAACAGTTTTTTTTAATTGTCTGATATATTCCAACAAAATGTGTTATCTTTGTGAATTTGTAACTCTTGTGTTGTAGGTCATGTAACACACACTCATAAACACAACTGAGTTGACGCTAGGCATGGTTATGCTTAGAGTAAATTTCACTCAAATCAAGGCTACTTTGGTTAGCCATGATTTACTTTTTGTGCATCTAATCTAAAACACATGGAATGCTATTTATTTGATATAAGGAAACAAGTAGTTTGAATC